ACATCTATTATGGTTAGTATGCCTACTACAATAGAAGTAATAACATCAACAACATCAGCAGGGTACTGGACTTTCATATACCAAAATAAATCAATAAATCAATAAAAGGAGCTTCAGCTCTTACCTTGAACCACACACAAAAAGTAATTTGAAAAAACAAATTGATAAAACAAAAATGATAAAACTTCTAGAATAAGATGCTGAGGAAAAACCCTGACAACCTTTGGTCAGGTAAAGATTCTTAGGTGAAAATGGTAATGGGACCAAGAGATGGAGGGAGGAGGAACCCAAAAAAGCACCGCAAGGTGTTGTTACATGGACCAGCTCTCTGTGATGAATGTATTCATTTATTGACTGCAAATACATATTGATAAAAACTTTAAAAAGAGTCTCAGCTAGGACACAAGAAAACATTTGGTACACAGGACTTTGGTGACACTAAAAACCTTTTCTCTTTGAAAGAATCTGTTAGGAAGTAAAAAGATTAGCCACAAATTAGGAAAAATATTTACAAAATACGTATCTACTCAGGAACTTATTTCCTGTGTGTTTGTGTGTACACAGCCTTCCTACTCAGAAAACAAGACAGTTAAAATGGGCAAAAGATTGAAGAGACAATCCAAAAAAGAAAAGATACAAGCAAGTCAGCACATAAAAGATACTAAACACCAGGGAAATATACTTTAAAACCAATATACAAGGTATATGTATATTAAAACATAGTTAAAATAGTTTACTACTGACTTCTCTGAGTTCACTGAAGAGAAATTAGTGCTGGTATTGTTCAGACAATTGAATGCAGATGTCTTGTGCTCTGGGTGAATGATTTGGGGTTGACAATGCACAATGTATATACCATTGTTGTGCCCTGATTGATGTGTTTTAAAATTTTGTTTTAGGTTTTTTTCTTCTTCCTTTTTCTTTTTCATCTTGAAATCAAATGGATTTAGAGGGAAAAAAAACCTCAATATACAGCTATTTGGATGGAAAATTTTAATAAATGCAGACTGAATATGTGAAACAACTATATCTCATAAATTGCCTTGAGAAATAAAAAAAATGATAGCTTCCTCAGGAAACCAATTAGCAGTTTCTTATACTGTCAAGCATGCAATTATGAATTGAAAGGGCTTCAGTAAAACAGAATAGAGGATGGAGAAATAACTAGTCAGCTGACAAAATGAGCCTATTTTCTTGAAGATTTAAACAGGTATGACAATCTGGGCGTGGTGGTGCACACCTGTAACCCCGGCACTCAGGAGGCTGAGGCAGGAGGATTGTTGCGAATGCAAGACCAGCCTGCGCTACAAAGTAAGCTCAAGGTCAGCCTGATCTGCATTGCGAGACCCTGTCTCAAAATGACTAAATAAATAAATAACATAAAATAAACAGTTATGACAATGGCAGTTCAGCTACTTGATTTGACAAAAGTGGGTCAAAAACTTATACTGGAGGAAAGACAGCCTCTTTAGCAAACAGTGCTGGGAAAACTGGCTATCCCCATGCAGAAGATTGAACCTGGTCCCTTATCTCTTACCATGTACTAAACTAAACTGAAATGGGTCAATGATCTAAATGTTAAAAGAGAAACAATCTGCTGGAAGATAAGACAGGTAAAACTCTTGAAGGCATAGGTATGGGCAAAGACTTTCTGACTAGCACCTCAATTGCTCCAGAAATAATAACAAGAATCAACAAATGGGATCATAACAAATTAAAACCCTTCTGCACAGCAAAGGAAACAACCAACAGGGTGAAGAGGCAACCTGCAGGGTAGGAAAAAATGTTTGCCAGCTCTTCCTTGGACAGAGGACTAATACCTAGGATAAATATGAAGCCCCAGAATTAGATCAACCAGATTTAAGAACCAATCAAAAACAAGGCATCTGAAAAGAAAAGACTTCTCAGAAGAAGTGCAAATGGCCAATAAATATATGAAAAATGATCAACCTGGCTGGCCATAGAGAAATGCAAATTAAAACTACACTGAGATTCCATCTTACTCCAGAAAGAATGGCCATAACCAACAAATCCAGTAACAAATGCTGCCAAGGTTGTGGGGTTGGTGGGAATGTAAATGGGTATAATCACTATGGAAATCAACACAAAGATTCTTCATAAAAATTAAAACTGGAAATTCTATTTGACCCAACTATTGTCCTTCCAGGCAACTCCTCAAAAGTGTTAAAAGACACTGTATTATAGCGATATATGCATACCCATGTTTATAGAAGCACAATTCATAATAGCTAAATCTTGGAAGCAGCTATATTTCCATCAACAGATAAATGGATAAAGAAAATGTGGCATATATACACAATGCGGTACTACTCTGGCATAAAAGAAAGATAAACTTGAGCTACTTAAAGGAAAATGGATATACCTTGAGACCATAATGTTAAATGAAATAAATCAGACACACAAGCTTAAATAGCACATGGTCTGTCTTATGTGAGAAACCCAAGTATAAATCAAGAACAAAATAAAAGATAGATAATAGAAAGAGCAACATAGAATTTTTGCATACGGGAAAGGGACCAAGACATGTATTGAGGGGAGAGGAAGAGGAGCGGAATGGGATTTTAAGAAAAGGACTTGGGATGTGCTGTGTACATGAACCAACTCCACACAAGGAAGGTATTTATTATGTCTTATAAATATGAACAAAAGAAAGAAAGAAAGATAAGCTAGAGTGGTGGTACACACCTGCAATCCCAGCATTTAGGAGGCTGAAGTGGGAGGATTGTTGCGAGTTCAAGACCAGCCTGGGCAACAAAGTGAGTTCAAGGCCATCCTGAACTGCATAGCAAGACTGGCTCAAAAAAAAAAAAAAAAAAAAAGAAAAAGAAAAAAGGAAAGGGGTCAAAAAGATAGAATGTGAGGGGCAGGGAAAGTGATAAAGAATGAAGCAAGATATGTTGTGTGCATGTACCTATTTCCCTAACGAATGTAATCTTTTTTTTTTTTTTTAGTACCAGGAATCGAACTCATGGTCTTGTGCTCTCGAGGCAGATGCCTGACTGTAATCATTTTGTATTGCAAACATATGCTAGTAAAAAATAAAATAAAATGAATACAGCATTCTCTGTATATTCCAGATTTTGCTTTCTGTGGTTCCAATTACTTGTGGTCAGTTATGGTATGAAAATGTTACATGGAAATTTTCAAAACTGAACAATTTCTAAGTTTTAAATTGTGTGGCAGTCTGAGTAGCATGTTAGAATCTGAGAGCTGTCTTGCCCTGACCTGCCCAGAATGTGAATCATACCTTTGTCCCCTTAAGTAGCCATCTCAGTTATCAGATCCACTGTAACAGTATTACATTGCTTGTGTTCAGGAAATTCTTGTTTTATTTAATAATGGCACCAAAGTACATGAAGAGTGATGCTGGCAGTTCAAATATGCCAAACAGAAGCTATAAAATGCAAGATACTTTAAGAAGCCATATTTCCATAATTTTCATTACAGTATGTTGTGATTATTGTTAATTTCTTACTGTACTCATTTATAAATTAAACCCTATAATCTAAGTACTACATTTTGTAGGACCAATGTAGGCCAAGGTGAAGACATTAGATTTTATTTTAAATATGCCAGAAAACTTTGAATAATTTTGAACACAGAAATGATCGGTCTTACCTTTTAAGACAGAGTGGTAAACAGACTAATGGCAGATAAAAATGGAAGCAAGGGAACCAGTGGGGAGCTATTTCCAAAGTCCAGGTGAGAGAGAGTAATGATATCACTGGGCCCATAGCAGTGGGAATGTTGAAGACTACATATTTTTAAATAGACCTAAAATAAAAGGCTACTGAGATGGTTTGAGGGGAGCACTTACAGAGAAAAAGATGACCCCTTATTTTCTGATTTTGCAAACAAAGTGCACACACTGGTCTGAGGTACAGAGGAAAGCCCGGCCTAGGGCCTGCTTGATATTACCCAGATGCGAACCAGTTGCTGGGGCGATCCAAATGATCAAACGGGCGAGTGCTGTTGATAGGTAGAGTAAAATGGGCCTGGACAACACCATAGAAGTCACTGTTGTGTGACTAGTGTCAGGGGTGGGAAGAAAAGCCAGCTAGATGTATGCTTAAGAGAGGATGGATTTCTTCAACAAAAAAATGAATGTGTGTGTGAGGAAACCCAGATGGGGGAGGAACCTCTAACAGATAAAAGGGTGGGCCTTCTTTGGAACCTGACACACTGGGATTCAAATACTGATCTGGTAATCGGGGATATAAAAGGATTATTCTTCTCGTCTCAAATGAGCAACGACAGTGAGGTTATATTAAAAACATAAGCCTTACTTTTTAAAAATGCATGCTACAGTAGAGATGAAAGGAAATGGTGTCCATGGGCAGATAATTATGCAAGTTGGGTGAAGAGTATACTGTACTCTACTTTTATGGCTGGAATTCTCTATTAATTTAAAAAAAGAAACGAATCAAATAATCCTATTTTTTAAAAGTCTTAAACTTGGAAATATGTGGAGCTTTTCACGAAAATACCGTTCAAAAGACATGCTTATGTCTGAGTTTTCTAACCATTTAGTAATTTGTGGCTGAGAAATATGATAAACACCTCTAATTTCCTAAATGACAATAAAAGTGAACGAATGGTGAAGAAACGAATATTGAGAATATTACTGATCTCAAAAATCATATTTAATGCTTTTCCAGACTGAAAAATATACAACAAATAGCGTAGAGTTCACTTTCGTGTTTTAAATATTTTTGACAGTGACACTAATGTTGACAGAATTTTTTGATTTTTTTTTTTTTACTTTAGGCAAAAGAATGCCTTGTTCAATTTTAACAGGGGGAACAAAGGAACACAACTAGCAGCTATTACTTTTACTGACAAAATACAACGATACACACTCCAGACCTGACAGTGTTCTGCCGCGCCAAAAACATGGACAGCTACGCAGGACCGCGGGGGCCGGCAGCGCATGCGCAGGCGCAATAGCAACCCGTAAGTCTAAGGCGGGACTAGGCCCGCAGTTAAAGGACAGACCCCACAGCCAATCAAAGGAGCGCACCAGTGGCTTCTTCCTGGAGGAGGAGAACGGAAGTCCGATTGGGTTGCTGAGGCGAAAGCTGCTACAGTGTAAACGAAGAGCGGAGGTGAGTGGGCGGCCGCGGCTTGCGCTTCCAGGCTAGGTGAGTGGCTCCTGCCTGACCCTCTCGGCTTCCTCGGGACCGACTGGGGACCCGAAGGCCTGGTGAGGTTCGGCTCGGAGGCGGCGGCTCGCCTCGCCCTGCGGTCCCCTGAGGCGGCCCCGGTGGGCAGCCCGCTCCCCTCCTTCTCCCCGACCGGTGTTGGCGCTGTGTGGGCTCGGCGAGCGAGGCTTGGCCTTAGTAAAGTGGGAGCAGCCGTCGCGGACCTCCTGGGGGCGGCAGTGCGGGAGTCGAGTGGAGGGCGGGGCCCGGTGCCACTGCGCGGCAGCAGCCTGGCCTCCTGTAGGCGCCCGAAGAAGCGGCCCCTGCTGGACCTCCGCCCGGAGAGCGGGCGCCTGAGGCTGGGGCTGAGGCCCGGCTCCCACGCCTCTCACTGGTGTTAATAGGGTGACTCCTCGCGGGGTTTGAAAGTTCACTCTGACAGCGATGGGGAAACAGTTTCTACGGCACGTCAGGTTCCCACTGTGCAGTCGGATTCATGAAAAGAAAGTTACGATATATATTTCCTTGAGAAATTAAAAATAAAAGACAAAACTAAAACTAAGAAGAAAATAATAAAGATCAGAAAACACAATTCCTATCAAACTGCCAACATCATTTTTCATAAAAATTAACATTTTGATTCTTACATTTCTGTAAAAATAGAAAAGACTCAGAAGAGTCTAGTCCAACCCACGATTTATCACAGTTACACCAATCATGACAAAATGGCATTGATATCAAGATAAATCACCAAAGCACCAATATAAAGTCCCAAAATAGATAACAGACAATTGATTTCTGGCAAAGATGCAAAAGCAATTAAGTGGAGAAAGGATCATACCCTCAATATATATCCTGGAACAATTGGATATTCACATGCAAAAAACCCAAACCTTACAGCACACCAACAATTTTTTAAGACACCCAAAAGTCAACTCAAAATGGCTTACAGTGGGTTCAGGTAAAAGCAGGTGTGGCCTGAGTTGTTGCTTGGCTGAAGTTATCCGGAATTCAAGAAAGTTTATGCTTTGGAGCCACAAAGATTAAGAATTCTTGTTACATAATTTCCTAGCTCTTTGATCTGATTGGAGAGTTTACCCATGTTGAGGCTTGGAATCCTTATCCCTAAAAAGAAAGTGTTTCACTCACAGACTTGTGTAACTTGTGGAAGATACAAAACGACATCTATTGCATATTGGTTTTTTGGAAATTTGCAACTTTAGAAATGGGTTTCCTATAGGGAGCTATGGAGCTTTTGACCTAAAAAACAAAACAACTTGAGTGAACATGGGCGTTCTAAAGTTTATTTTGATATACTAGAGCAGTGTTAGTAGTCTGGCTTTGGTGATGCTGTAATAAGAGATTATTCTTGTCTTAGGAACATACACTGAAGTACTTGGGGATGAGTACGGATGAGAAGCCCAAACATGGGGAAAATGTTAACATTGGAGAATCTGAGTGAAGAACATAAAATATTCTTTGTAAATTCATGTAACTTGTGTAAATATGACTTAAAAGTTTGAACAAGTCCAATGTATTATTTGCAACACAAGTAGGTTATAATCAATCAAAACAGTATATAACTTTTTATAAACCTCTCATCCATGTGTGTGTGGGTTTTTTGTTTTGTTTTTGGCCTTTTTGGCAGGGAGGGAAGGGGACTAGGAATGGAGTTCATGTGTTCTTAATAGTTGTACAGACATTTTGTCCTGTTCATATTGATAAATGACTTATTTTTTTTAACTTTTCCTATTAAAAAAGTGCTGCATTAAACATCCTGTGTACAACTTTGTGTGCTTTTAAAAGTATTTTATGGGATAAATTTCTAGAAATGGAATTGTTGGTTCAAAGAGTATTAGCACTTACATTTTTGATAATGACAAGTTAAAATGTGTGTTAGCTGTGTATATAGATTTGCCATTATTCTCTAGTGTAAACCTAACTTAGCATCTAAGGAAGTTCAGCAGTGCCTGGGATGGCGGGTTCTCTGTGTTGGAAGGTTTATGGGCTTACTCAAAGCCTGCCTTAGAGAAAATGTTCTCATGGTAGAATATTTGAAATCTGGAGGGTCTGTTAGATGAAAACAGTTCTAAGGCACAGCAGCAGTTTGGATGGAGGAGAGGCAAAGTCAGCAATGGAAATTGCTCCCTTGTTTCTCAGCTCAGTCCCAGCACACCACTTGGCCTGGTAGAAACTTGGAGTTACCCATGCCTGCTCTCAATATCTCACATACGTGAATTGTCCTGTCTAACATTGCCCTACCTTGAAATTCTGATCAGATCAGTCTAAAGTGAACCAGGGAATCATATTAAGATTACCTCCTCTTCAAATGCCATAAGTGGAAGTTATTGTGGATTTAGATCTTGAAAGTGGCCCAAACGCCATCAACAGGAATGGAGAAAGGAAATGTGGTATTTGCACTATAGACTACTGCTCTGTCATAAAGAAGGCAAGACTTAAGTCACTGTATAAAACTGGATGCACCTTGAGACCATAATGTTAAACAAAATAATTCAGACACAAATTAATACTGAATTGTTTGTGACAAACTCAAAGAGCAAAATAAAAGATAATAGGAAATTGAGGGAAAGATGATTCTCAGCAGGGAAGGCATTCAGAGATGGAGGGAGAGAGAGGGAAGAAAGGGAAAAGGGATGAAAAGGAGGAATTGGGATGTGTATGTACGTGTACCACACACAAGGGAAATTTTGTGGATGGTTAACAATATAACACTCAGAAAAAGGTAGTATCCTTACCCTGTTGTAAATACTAATTTTAGAAACTAAGATGATCGTCTTGTCTTGGACTCCAACTCTCAGAGCAAACTCTCTAGTTGTTATATGTTGTGGGTTTGTTTTGTAGCTGTACTCTAATAAGCTTTGGTCTGTTTCTATAGGCTTTTGATCTTCCACAATGGGTGAACCACAGCAAGTGAGCGCACTCCCTCCGCCACCAATGCAGTACATCAAGGAATATACAGATGAAAATATTCAGGAAGGCTTAGCCCCGAAGCCTCCACCTCCAATTAAAGACAGTTACATGATGTTTGGTAACCAGTTCCAGTGTGATGATCTTATCATCCGCCCTTTGGAAAGTCAGGGAATTGAACGACTTCATCCTATGCAATTTGATCACAAGAAAGAACTGAGAAAACTCAATATGTCTATCCTTATTAATTTCTTGGACCTTTTAGATATCTTGATAAGGAGCCCTGGGAGTATAAAACGAGAAGAGAAGCTGGAAGATCTTAAGCTACTTTTTGTACATGTGCATCATCTTATAAATGAATACCGACCCCACCAAGCAAGAGAGACCTTGAGAGTCATGATGGAGGTCCAGAAACGCCAACGGCTTGAAACAGCTGAGAGGTTTCAGAAACACCTAGAACGAGTAATTGAGATGATTCAGAATTGTTTGGCTTCTTTGCCTGATGATTTGCCCCATTCTGAAGCAGGGATGAAAGTTAAAACTGAACCAATGGATGCTGATGACAGCAACACTTGTACTGGACAGAATGAACAGCAAAGAGAAAATTCAGGTCACAGGAGGGACCAGATTATAGAAAAAGATGCTGCCTTATGTGTCCTTATTGATGAAATGAATGAAAGACCATGAAGTCTTCCTGTTCTTTTTTCCTGTTGTTAAATACAGTTGTAAATTAGTTTATTTTCTTTTAGATAATGTTAAAAGAGGTTCTGTATAACTAAAAACGTGTTTTTTCTTGATTCCACCTTTTTAATTATGCTATAGGCAGTAATTTCACTGCTTAATAAAAATAGGCACATGAATACACCTACATTAAGAGAAATTACTTTAAAAAGAAAAATGTAGGCAACCCATTTGGGACCCCTCAGGAGCAATTCCTATTCCCTATTTCCCATTCCCATTCTCCAGTAAATTTTCCTACTTTACAAAAAAAAAAAAAGCGCAAAATGTTTGCTGTTGTGTGGGAGATTCTGGTTTTTGAAGTTGCAATAAAACTGAAGATACCCTTAGTGTAGCAAGCTTTAGCCTTGAAAAAAGTAAACTTGTCACTTGGTTTAAGAATGATGAATAAAGGATATTGAGGTGTATCTGTGAAATTATGAAATCTTTAGACTTCCTTAAAAATTTTACTTATCTCCCAAAAAGTAATACAAAATGCTAAAAGAAGGAACCAGTACAATTAAGTGTGTTTTCCCCAGGACTCTTGCCATATCACCCCAACCTCTTCTCTCTATCCTGCATAAAATCATGGGACGGTAGTTCCATAGACTGGGCTTTTTTTTTTTTTTTTCTTTTGGTATCAAGAGTCAAACTCAGGACCCTGTACTTGCCAGGCAGGCACTGTGCCACTGAGCTACATCCCCAGCCTAAGCTGTTGTTTTTGCCAGTCATTCAGGTAATAAATTATTTGGTTCCTTTAGTTCCATGAACTTATTTTAGTAATTAAGATGACTATGCAGTTATCTATACATTTCCGTTTATATTAGCTCAGGTTTGCTTAGGGGCTGGAAGCCAGCAACAGGAAAAAAGTTTGGTAGCAGGCACTGCTAGACGTCTACCAAAAATTCTTGCTTCTTTATGAGATAATGTCGAGAGATGGCTCCCAGTCAGGCACAGCATACCCTAAATGTGGCCTTGTAGTCTGTGTGAGGTCCTACAACTTAAGTCCTAGAGGATGGAATAACATGGTGGTAGGAAACCAGGTTTACCTCGCTGAAATTTCTTTCATGATCTTCCATTTTCTTCTGCCATCTCCCGGTTTGACAGGCACAGTCAGGATATCTTCAGAAGCCACTTGAAGATGGTGAAGATTCAGTCGCTTTGGTTCCTTGAAAGAGGAGTAGGTCTTTCATTAATTGTACATGCCCTTTCCCAGAAGATACGACTATGTGAGCAAAAAATAAATTTGTTTTAGTGCTGATATTTTTATTTCTGTACTTTTTTTTTTCTCCTTCCACTCCATCTCTCTTCCACCAAGGTCTTGGTGGAGAAATAGCCTTGTATCTGAACTCTGCCTGCCATTTTCTAAATGTAGGTCAGTGATTCTCAAATTGTGGCCCTGGATCTGCCACAGTGTCACCTGGGGACAAATTCTGACCCCCCCCCCAATCCATACCTGAACCAGAAGAAACTCCAGAGACAGTGACCAGGAAGCTATATTTTATTAAGTTTTCTATGTGATTATGATGCAAGCTCAAAATTAAGATCACTGATAGAGATAATACTGTTTCTTAGATTTTTGCTCATCTGGTTTCTAGCAAAGAATTTCTTCATTAAGATTTAAAATTGGATGCGGTGGTACACGCCTGTAATGCTGGGACTTGGTAGGCTGAGGCAGGAGGATTGCCATGAGTTTGAGATCAGCCTGAGCTACATAGCTTAAGGAAAGTCTGAACAACACAGTGAGACCCTGTCTCAAAGGAAAAAAGATTTTACTTGTTCCCAAACTGGTACAGATCAGCTTAAAACAATTATAGGGCTGGGGATATCGCTCAGTGGAGTAAGCACCTCCCTGGCAAGTGCAAAGTACTATAACTCTTGATACAAAAAAAAAAAAAAATCAAAATTCATGGTGGTACATACCTGTAATCCTAGCACTCAGGAGGCTGAGGCAGGAGGATCACTGCAAGTTTTGAGACCAGTATGGGCTAAACATTGAACTCAAGGCCAGCCTAAACTGCATAGTGTTTTTCTGTCTCAAAAAGGTAAATAAATGCTTACATGCATAAACAAAATGACTACAGGCCAGTCCTATGAGACATCTGTTGCCTTAACAAATCTTGAATACGTGGGTTTTCCCAAGTTTAGCTCTTTATCAGGCAGGTACCATGAGTAGTTCACCTGTTCTATCTTTGGTACAGCCCTTTGGGCTCTAGAGACTCCAGAAAAGCAGTCTAGGTTTCAAGCTTCCGTTGAAGTGAGGGAGCAGTCTCTACCTTAATCTTGTGAGGGAACAATGTTGAAATTGCATAGAAGTGAGCAACTCCAAAGATTTGTGTGACCTTTAATTTTTTTTTTTTTTGTCTTTCTGAGACAGGGTCTCACTATGCAGTTCAGGCTGGACTTGACCTCACTTTGTAGCCCAGGCTGGTCTCGAACTCGCAACGATCCTCCTGCCTCAGCCTCCCGAGTGCTGGGATTACAGGCGTGAGCCACCACACCTGGCCTGTGACCTTTAATTCTTAAAGCTCTGGAAAGGGTGTTGGGTAGAGTACAAAACCAGTCTGGGGCTACCACATAAGTCCTGGAGTGTTAAAACGGTATTTCCTGACATCATCATGAATCACAGCAGTTACTTGTGTATGACTGTGTATGTTGGAGGAGTTGGTGAGAGTTGAGGAGTTAAAATGCCATGAGAGATCTTTAGAGGTCTGGAGGGTCTGATCTTTGCAGTGCAAGATTTTCCCAAACAGACTGTTAGGACCTCTGATGTGAACTGATATTACAGTGGAATGAGAAAGCATACAGGAAGCTGTGTTTTATCAAGCCTTCCATGAGATTATGGTGCAAGCTCAAGATTCAGAACCACTGATAGAGGTCACGCTGTCCTTAGATGTCTGCGTTTAATTCCTCCCTCATCTGGAAGGAATTACTATTAGTGGTCTGGTAGTTGTAACAAGTTTAAAACCTTACATAAGATCATTGGAAACCTTACATGGGTCATTGGAATGGGCGTTGTGATAAATGCCTGTAAACCCAGCACCTGGAAACCTGAGGCAGGAAGATTGCTGTGAGTTCAAGGACAGCCTTGGCTCCATACTGAGTTCAGGACCAGTGAGACCCTGTCTCAAAAAAAAAAAAAAAAAAAAAAGTTCTGCACACTTGCTTGTATAAACATTATCGAAAAATAAATTCATCCAAAAAAATATCTGGAAGAATCACCTAACCTGCAATTGAAGTGACCAATTCCCAGACTGTAAAGATTCTGGTTTCATTTTTATGGAGTGGGCCCATAGCATTGGTTGTAAGAAATCTGTAGGTGATTCTGTGCAGTAGTTAAGAAGTATTGTTCCTCTGATTGACATGCTATATAATTTTGTTGTAGTTTTTTTTCCTTTCTTTTTGTGTTTGAATAAAGTAGATTTGGAAAATTTTAAAAATACTAAAAAAAGAGAAGTGTTGTGTAGCTGGGTGTGGTGGTGCACACCTGTAATCCCAGGATTCGGGAGGCTGAGGCAGGAGGATTATTTTGAGTTCAAGACCAGTTTGGGCTACAAAGTGAGCTCAAGGCCAGCCTGAACTGCATAGTGAGACCTTGTCTCAAAAAGACAAAAAAAAAAAAAAAAAAAAAGAAAACAAAAGTACTGTATAACCAATGTTTTATTGCTGGTGACAAAATTGTACTTAAACTAGCTGAAGATGGGACTGGGGATTTAGCTCAGCGACCTAAGTGCCTGCCTGGCAAGTGCAAGGTCATGCAAGGTCATGAGATTGATCCCCAGCACCACAAAAACAAACTAGCTGAAGCAGAAAGATGAATTCATTGGGAAGATATGGAGTTTACCATGGGATTGAAGGTAAAATGAACATCCAGATTCTGAGGAAGAAAGGAAAGCTGTGGATGGAGTGGGGTTCATTGGGCCCAAAACCCTCGCTGTTAGCCTCACTTTCTACAGACCAGTCTTAATGATACAGGTGGAAAAAACTGCATTAAGTTTCTAAGTTTCATGTACAGATGCTTTTCAACTTCCAGACAGTGGGTTTGTATCTTGGTAAACCCATTATAAGTTGAAAATATAGTGGGTGGAAAATGTTTTCAATAGGTCTATCAAACGTCATAGCTCAACCTAGCTGAGAGGTGCTCAGAATGCTTATGTTGGCCTACAGTTGGGTATCAGAAGGATATTGTGTTGTGTATTGCTAGTCCAGGAAAAGATCTGAATTTGAATTATAGCTTTTACCAAAGGCTTATCACTTTCACACCACAATAAAGCTGAAGCATCATAAGGTAAGTCATTTGAAGTTGGGAACTGTCTGTATTTCTGTTTTTGCCACTGCCTGTGAGTTGCTTCTCAAGTACAAACTTCGAATTGTCTCCCTCTTAATCCTCCATCAAGGGCCCTGATGAGTTCTAGTTCTCCTTTCTAGATTTAAATTTCTCCAAGTAAACCTCTTTAACTGGCAAATATGATTACCATCATAAGTAGCCTAAGCCATGATCCAGAGTCAACCCGTGGATATGTTATTCTACCAGAAGTGATGGTTCCCTTATGACTGAAAAAATTTTTTTTAAAATGCAATGGAAAAAAATAAAAACTTTTGCTCTCTGGAAAAAAAAACCCTGAAGTTAAGGCAAGCTAATAAACCAAGAGGCATGAGGTAAAAGGAATTACATACCTGATTTCAACTGGGCTACTCAGTTGGGACTTTGATCTTGTAAGAATTTAGTTGTCTCCATTAATGTCCATGTATGGAGAAACCAATTCTCAGAGGAGGGAAGGGGTGCTGATCTGACAATACTGCACATGTTCACTACGAATTAAACACATGTACACTTTGGTGTAATTACTGAAAATAAACAGTGCACACGTTAATATGAGAATATTTCCCCCAATTATTCATTTATTCACTGTATTCATATGATGAATATTTGTTCTAGTCTTCTCTATGCTTGACACTCTGGTTTAGTGTTGGGTGAGTGGGAATGGGGAGGAAAAAAATGAGGAAAGATAATATGAATGAGTTAATTTTTGGAGGTGATAAGTTTAGCACTCTCTGAAGAACTTTCCTTTCCTGTTGCCTACTCCAAACACCTGGTCCACATTATTGAGAGGGAATAGTCACACTTGTTAAGGGCTTTAGAAGGCAGCCTCTACCCTGTGCAGTGTGTGAGAGAAAAGGCCTCTTGAGCCCTTAAGGCCATTGTAAACAGCAGGTGCAGTTGTCTCTAGGAAATAAGAAAATTGGCATAATTCAAGAACACCTATTGTAGCTAAAATACAGTATAGGGAAAAGGGAGGTAGAACCAGAGAAGCAGGTGGAAGGCAGATATACAGGATTTAGAGAGCAAAAGAGCTTGGTTTTATATACTAATTCTGATAGGAAATCAGTTGCAAACACATGCATAGTACATTGTAGCAAGGTTCTAATCTCTTCACATAGTCATTTTATCTTGGAGTTGGCCCGATGAAGTTGCAATTATTTTTATGTCTGTATTACACAGTGCGGAGTGAAGGTTCAGGGATGTTGTGTTGCTTATCTGAGGTCACCCAAGTAGTGACTGGAAGAACCAGGATAGCAAGTAGGCACTCTTCCTGTGAGTTGTCAGAAGCCACGTTGGGTCTTGGGGGAGTACAAGAAGCCAGTCTTCCCTTCCTGTAAGCTGCACAAGCTATGGAGGGCCCAGGAAGAGAGAAGCCAGTTTGCCCCTCCTGTGAGACTGGCATGTGGTCTGAGAATCAACCCCAGCACCCTGACACACATACAGTAAGCAACCAACTTGTTTGGAGGACAGGGTGAGTTGACAGCAACTGAGATACAAAAAACCTAAATGCTTTCATTGTTTGATTGACTTTCAGGTCTGAAGCTGGTAGTCTGAGCATCTATTAGGAGAATAACAGTGTGCAGTATAGCAAATATGGGGATTTCCTTCTGTCTTGTTTTTGAGATCCAATATTGTTCTCACTGTTTAGCTTTGTCCTGATTTATTGTTTTGTTTTATTTAATGTTCTGTTTTGATTGGATTTTTCCATTTTGTTTTATTATATTTTACTATATCTGGTGGTATGGACAACTATTGTGAAGATAATAAGAGATATGGTAGCCATTGTAGATTTTCTTCTATCCTGTTTTGAAATTCTGTACCACTTTCATTGTTATGTTTTGACTGACTTTATTCTCTTTTATTTTGTTAGGTTTTATTTCCTTTAAAATAAAAATTTTTAAAAAATAGACTCCCTGGTTTCAAAGCCTAAGCACTTC